CAAGCCTGCCCTTGGTGACACGCAAGGCCCCAGTGTCCATCCTGCAACTAGGACTTAATCAAAGCAATGTCAGGTTGAGGCAAGGGTACAGAGACATGGGTTTTCATTTCTTAACTGTTTATATTTGTTTTAAACCCGAGATTCTTGGGGAGCCTTGAAAATGCTGTGGAGAGGCATTGTCATAGCCCTCTACCACCACCACTGTCATCACCCAGTCTTCTAAGGGCACAAAGCTGCCTAAGCAGAGGCTTACCTGGGTAGGCTTCACTGACACAGGGACACACAGTAGTGCCAGCATTGCCCATCTTCCCTTTAGAAGAGTTGGGTCTCTCTGTCTTCCATTTTGATAAGGCAGGACTGTTCCCATCTGTGACCTCCACTGTATACCTACCCATTCTTACAATATTCTGGAGAAACATTTGGACTTGCTATGATAACCATTAAATAAACATCAATCGACACATAACTGCACTTATTTATATGTACAGTGTGCTAACACACTACATGTATATAATGTACAATGATCAAACCAGGGTAATTAGCATCCCATCTCTTCAAGCATTTATCATCCCCCAGTGCTTAACCTTTTCTTTAAATGAGTTAATTACACAGCCTGATTATAAATGGCTGAAAGAGGAAATGTGGCTAATACATTTCTAAGTGCTCTCCCGTGGCTGTGGTCAATGCCTTCCACAGAGTAGGCACTCCCAGTGGTGAGTTCAATAGATAAATGGGATTTTAAAAGTGAAACTCTATACATTTCTGCAAATGCAGCTCTTAATTAGAACTAAGCTCTGCTTCAAAGAAATCTGAAGTTCTCTAGTGATAGCCTTCAGAGAGCAGGTGTTTATTTATGGAATATCTGAGCTCAGTACTGTAATAGTCCTGCTGTAATTTTCCTGGAAACCAGCTCACTTTAAAATCACATGCCATGTCTGAGACATTACTGGAAAGCAATGAAGTTTTGAGGGCCAGGGAGGTGGGCATAGGTACAGATAACTGTCCATCTGTCCATGGCACATCTTTCTCTCTGTAGAATGGCATGGTGGG